GGCCTCGATTTAACACTTGATAGTGAAGCAAAAATGATCCAGCACCTTTTTTCAAGAAACTTGCATCGCAAACAAGGTTTGGCCCTTCAATTATCATATGAATGCTTGACATCTCAGTGCCTTCAATCCAACATTAGTTGAAAATCATGAAGAAAAAAGAAAAAAGGGGAAAGTGACTCGTCTTCTTTTATATTCCTTTCTTTTCCATTAACTTTTGCATGTGGCAGTCGCTCCTTCAAATGGACAAATCAACATTCACTCTCTATCATAGTCTGTTGTACATCATGATAGTGACAAAATACTATGTATTAATAAAAATCATGCTCGTAGGTAATGAGTATCTTCAATCTTTCCTTTTTTATTTCTGGAAAAAGTCTGGTCATTATTTGTAGCCCTTCAAGATTAAGCCTTTCATGAACATCTCACGAAAGTGAAGAATTTAGTATAATCTCCTGGGCCATAGAAAATGGCCACAGATATCTTTTCAGTGTAATTCTAATGGGGAATAGCAAAAAGCCTCTTTCCAATCCAGCTTTAAAACTAATGGAGAGTTCAGTATTTTCCTCCTTTTTTTTTTTTTTTTTTTCTTTTTTTTAAGAAGCACTATGTTCCTAGAGGACAACATCAGCCATCAAACGATGTCTTGAGATCTGGTTTCAGGTAGTTGGTACTCTGACAAGTGTGGTTACTCTGTTTTTAAGGTAAAGAATCATTATTAAAACTTCTTTTTTCATTTTGAAGCCATCGCATCCAATTCAGTGAGGATTTATTTTTTTTATCGAAATTCGATCAAAAGCACATGATTCCATCGTGGAATGTGTATGGATTAGGTCTCTGTCAACAGAATTTTATCTAGAGTTAAAATATCCATGCAAGACTTGAAAATCAATAAAATATTTCCACTTTCGAACCTGAGATGTGATTTTGAAGAAACAGATGTTTAAACCGTCAGGACAACTCTTTCCATGTCCAAACCATCTCGTGGTTCTTCATACCAGTGAAGTTAAAGTCTCACGTCATCACATTGCAATACAATGTGAGTGTCATTTATGACAATGTTATGAAACCTAGCACTGTCCCGTGAATCAATTCAAAGGCTTGTTAATACGGGACTAAACTCAAGTCGAGCGTATCAATTTATTTTTCGATTTATATCAGTCGACAAAAGTTAAATTAATTTAATCTATATATTATATTTTAAAATGTATAAGAAAAACACCGTAGAGATATTATGGATATAAATTTGTTATATGGTAAATTATAATGTAGATATTAAGTGTTTATATCGTGAACAATATTATAACACTATCGAGCATTATCTTTTTTATTTTTTAGTTAAAAAATGTTACTAAATTTAGCTTTGCTATTAGATCCAATACTACTGGATCTGGTTTTGCATACATAAAAAAATACATTATAAAAATACTACATGCATAGTATTATACTGTGAGCCACATTATAGACGCACAATATTTATAATGTGGACAACATTAAAGCACCAAAGAGCGTTTTCTTTACTTTACTGTTTTTTAGTTAAAAAGTATTGTTGACCTTTTGGATCAAGACCTAATAACAATGGGACTTGGCTACCACTAGACTCAATTGACTTATTCGTCAAATCTAAAAATATTAGGTCTTGTTTTACAACTAGATTGAGGAATATTAGGTCAGATTTCACAATGAAAATCAATAATATTAAGTTTGTTTATCTAGCTGAACTCAATATTTTTATATTTTAATGGGTAGCCCTACTCTATATTATTGGGTTTGGCATTCTTGCCGAGCCCAAAACTTCTTGAATCCGGTTAAATAGTTAAACAATAACATTTGAGTCTGATGGCTTAACTAAACCCAATAATCTATAATCTAGCAGTTAAGCAATTTTATTTAAGGATATTAATTGTTGCTTTACAGTCAAATTCAAAACTATAATGTTTGGTTAGGACACTAAATCTAATTATCTTGCCTGCTAGATCCACTAATATTGGATCGAAATTGATAGAGAAATGGAAGGATAGTAAGTTCTCTTCAAATTCGAGGTTGTTATATGATAAATGAGTGTAAAGGCAAAGGAATGCAGTTATGTTAACGTGTGATAGCTGCTAGAGTATTGTGAATTTCAAGACACCAGCTAGCTAGTTATCACCGTTTAGGTTTCCTGAACAAGATTAATGCCCTCCATTGCCGTGTGCTTCTTGTACGGCTTGCCCGCTCCTCACCATCGTTCATGACCAGTCCAGGTTAAAATACTTCGACCCTGCCCAACCTTTTTCCAATTTAAGACTATGCTGTGGGAGAGAGAGCTCCATTCTGTATTTTTTTTTAACCTAAAGTTTAATTCTATCTGGTCAATGGAAATGGTTAGATATGTAAACATGTAACCCCACGTGTAAGATTTGATCTGTCGGAGACATGCCTAGAATCCGATAAGCTTTAATTCTTCAAGCAGTCTGTGCTGACTCTGAACCTGGATTTGGACTTTTGACTGTTTTGTTGGACTTTTGTTCTAATTAGAATTATAATAACCATGCACAGCTATATATATATATTGTTTAATTTATTAATTGTAGAGATCCATTGGATTCATGAGAGGTCGGCTGCAGGGAGGGATACCCTTTCCCTCTTCTTTTTATTCTCAATTTTTTTTTTTAAAATCCGATTTCAAGTCATTAAGTATAAGATGTGATTTTATTAATTGGAGAAAAACAAACATGACACGTGGAAATGCAGAGTGGGGAGCCGACGTTCGATAGCGAGGAAGCCGCGTGATGGACGGTGGCTAACACGTGCACTCCACATAGGATTCGCGTCAGCGCTTGGACTGTTTAATAATTAAATGGTAATCTGTGTAATTCCTAATCTTACCCTTGTGGACTCCACCCACCTCCGTGATCGTAATTTAAAATTGTTTTAATTTTAAATGCTAAATAACCAACAATTAAAGAGACTGATATCTTTCAAACTTACATTTTAGTTTTTCTTACTCTTCCCTCCTTTCTCAAATCTATAGATAGAGTTTCCGTAGGATGCATGAATACATTTATATTTTCAGATTATAATGTAATTTATATTTTAAACTTTTATTTAATAATTTAAATTATTAAATTAAGATAGTTTTCATTATCAAATGATCTCAAATTTAAATTTTATTATTTTTATTTATTTAATAAACATTAAATATAAAATAATATAATCTCGTATGAATTTAAACTTGATATATATATATAACAGAGACATGAAATAAATATATCTTTGTATATTTTAACCCTTTTAAAATATCAATAATAAGCAACATGTCCTGTTTATCATCACTGTTCTCATCTTCCTTTGCAAGCGTCATCTCTAGAAAACTCATGAAGCATCAGAGCTCAAGAGGCAAAGGCTGTTTAACAAACTGTAAGGACAAAAACTGAGCTTTACCCGTTTATTTATTAATATTAATTAACTGTTCAGTAGTTTTGTTATTTCCTCCCTCCCTCCCTCTCTCTCTCTCTCTCTCTCTCTCTCTACGCTGTGGGCTGTCGCTTGTTGGTTTGGCCCCCATGGAAAAAGACCACCCTTTTGCTTCCTCTTCCTCTTTTCACCGCCTTCTTTCTTTCTTTCTACAAATCAATCAATTATAAACAAGATTCTCTGATCGACACTTGCTGGTGGCGCATCGTGCCGAGATCATGTTGGCCGGTGTTTACAAATTGTTATTTTTTAAAATCTTTTTTTATTTAAAGATATATTAAAATAATATTTTTTAATTCTTTAAAAATTATTTTCAACATTATCATATGAAAATGAAAAATTAATTTAAAATAATAAAATAATCTTAAAAAAATCTTGAAAACACAAAAATATTAAACTGTTGTAATAACACTAGAAGAATTTCAGATCGAGGGATAAAGATTCTATGCTCTCGTGATTAGGCTCGAGGAATATAGCACAGTTAATAACTCACGAGGTAAAACTCTTGATGACTGCTACTAATTACCATGTAGATGCATGTTCATCATTTCCTCACTGTGTTATTGTATCCTGTAAAATATTTTATAACAAATAGCATCTAATTTGATGTTGTTTTAGTTTAAATTAACGTTTTTTATTAAAAAAAAAAAACTAATTACAAGAGCATGAAAATACATCCCCATAAATAAAGGTAAAATAAATGCAATAAAATACTAATCCTGATGCACAATAAAATATTTTTATTGTTTACCATTAAATAAATAAAAACAAGATGAACAATAAGATGCTTAGGTGTGCAATCTATTATTTAATCAACGAAGGGCGTGCGCTATAAGTTTACGTGCACATGTTCCCTTCCTTCTCATGGGTTTTTTTTTAAAAATAAAAAGTTCAGTAGTTTTATGAGTTGAAAATATAGAATTTTCGGCCACAAATTCGTACATGGTATGCTGAACTTATCTCCGACTGTATATTCAATTCAATTCCATCTTCATTTTCTCCTCAATAATTGTTTTTTTAACATATCTGGTCAGAGCAATTTCTTTTTCGCTTTCTTTGGCGTCCTCCACGCTGAGAATTGTCATGTTGCTGGCTATAACTAGCCGCTGATCCTCACGCCATTAATTAATGATCCTTTACTGCGCCTGAGAAAAGGCTTCCCTTATCCTGTTTCCATGGCCGCCTCGCCCCATATCCCAGTATGTACATTGCTCGTGATCAACTCCCACTCGTACATTTGACCGGTACACGTGTATGATACGCATGATATCTCTAACGTATGGCAGTAACTCGAGAATGCCTTAACCGTTAAAACTTGTTCGAAACCCTATGAACCGCATCTTAAATCCACAAAATATAATATATATTCTCTTGATAGCAGGTGCGTGCATCCAAGAACAAAATCATTTCATAAATTTGCTAATAGCTATGTAAAATGTGACAGGACCAAGATGGAGACAGCTTTGTAATTACAGAAAAAAAACCCTTACGTCTAAGGAAAAAAGTGGACTTTAAAATACAGAAAAAGGATTACAAAACAAAAAATGTATATAGGAGAGCTCAGAAAAACTGAATTCGCATTCCCATACTGATGTGAAAACTTGCTAAAAGCAGCCATCGCTATCTCTGACGCAGGGCAAACACTCTATAAATACCATAGCTTTTTATCTTGCAATACTGCTTTGTTAGTGGGCAAACAGAAAAGTCTGTCTGTCTGTTGTGTGGCCTCGTTTAAACTAATATCAGATCAGTTATGGCCACTTACTCTGTCCATCTCCATCTTCTTTCCATGCTTCTCACTCTTTCAGGTTAGTTCTTTCTTGTTTCGACTGCCTTTTGCATGCATTGTTCTGCTTGTTTGTTTTCCAGGAAAGTGCGAGGAAAGAAAAATATATGCTTAAGTTGCTGGCTTAACTTGGTTGCCTTTTTTATTGTTGTATACTGTATATTCGAGCTTGGAAACCAAGGTCTGCGAAATTACCACCAATATTAAAATAACTGATCCCTTTTGCATTTATTTTCCTATGTCTGTGGTGAATTCAGCGGGATTTACCTGTTTTTGTGTTTCTTCTCTAGGCGGGTTCCCTTTTATGAGTTTGGAACTGGGACTTTAATCTAACTAGAGCTTGATGGGAATAATTATGAACTGTAAAGGATCCTGTTACTTGTTGAACATTCATTGTGGCATACAAAGCTAGTAAATTTTATTCTTGTTCAGTTTTAGACTGAGAAAGTTTTTTTATGTCCCTTCCGAGGTTTTTTTTTTAAAAAATATTTTGATATTTTTTTTCATGTGGGCATCATGATCATATTTTCTTCAATACATGTTTGCACGCATATTTTAATTTCGGATCCTGACTAGAAGCTAATCCCCGTATCTTCTGCATTTTTGAATTGTGTGTTGTGATGCTGGATGGTTCTGGTTCTTGTTCCTTTATTCTTTGGTTTTCCTATCATGGTTAAGTTTGTCCAACTGAAAACTCTGTTTTTCGGATTCAGGTGTCCGAGTCCTTGGTGCTGGGCTTGGAATTAACTATGGACAGATTGCCGACAACCTCCCATCTCCCTCCCGTGTTTCCGTGATGCTTCAATCCCTCGACGTCAGCAGGTTAAAACTCTATGATGCCGATCCCAAAGTCCTGCAGGCCTTTTCTAATTCAAGTGTTGAATTCATTGTTGGGATTGGGAACGAGTACCTCCAAGACATGGCTGACCCTGTCAAAGCTCAAAACTGGGTTCAACAGCATCTTCAACCCTACCTCGCTCAAACCAAAATCACTTGCATCTCTGTCGGGAACGAGGTGTTCATGAGCAATGATACTCAGTTATGGTCAAATCTCCTTCCGGCAATGAAGATGGTGCATAACACTCTTGTTAATCTTGGATTAGATAAACAAGTGATTGTCACTACTGCACATCCCTTTACCATCATAGGAAATTCATACCCTCCTTCATCCGGGACTTTCCGGCAAGATATTATCGAATACATGCATGCGATCTTGGATTTTCATTCTCAAACCAAGTCACCATTCCTTATCAACGCATATCCCTTTTTCGCATACAAGGATAACCCAGACCAAATACCTCTAGATTATGTCCTCTTCCAGCCTAACGAAGGGATGACAGATCCAAACACAAATCTGCATTATGATAATATGTTGTACGCTCAAGTAGATGCTGTGTATTCAGCAATTAAAGCAATCGGACATACAGATATTGAAGTTAAGATCTCAGAGACAGGTTGGCCATCCAAGGGGGATCCTACCGAGGTCGGATCAACACTACAAAACGCAGAGCTATATCATAGTAATCTGTTGAAGAGAATTCAGCAGAAGCAAGGCACACCAGCAAAACCATCCGTGCCGGTTGACATATATGTTTTTGCACTATTTAACGAGAATTTAAAGCCTGGTCCGACATCTGAAAGGAACTACGGGCTCTTTTATCCCGACGGCACTCCAGTTTTTAACATCAGATTGCAGGGCAATCTTCCTGGAATAATTTATTCCTCGGCATCCAATATAAAAGTAACTCATATTTTCTCTCATCATCACCATGTTTTGGTTTTAAACATAATTAACAACGAATCTAATCTCGTGTATTGCATTTCGAATGATCCTGCAGGCATTGTCCACCTTCACCTTGGTGATATCTGTTTTAGCATACTTGATCCATGCTTAGGTTACCTGAATTCCGGTGAACGAGGGATAGATAAACAACCAAAGTCTAACACCACAAATCGCATAGCCGCAGCAAGATTTTTTATAGGTGAGATACTGAGTTCATTTTAATTGAAACAGTGACCATCTCAAGTTCTGAATTCTTCAATGCAGAAATTGAATTCAACTAAAGTTGGCCTGCTCATTACCTAACCTGGTTAGGTTCAGATCAAATTGGTTGACTATCGATACTGTTTGATGTTCATGTGTATATATATATATATATATATATATATGGTTTTGCTTAGAATAGTCTGCAAATCACATGGTTGAGATTTCTGAATCATCTTATCAACTTTTTTTCCCCTCCGGATCTGTAAGGTAGAACCCATCTGATGTTGCCTACTTTGTGCATGCACCAAGTGGGGATGCTTTGACATACAGTGTCTGCTGTTTTGAAATCTAATTTTGATGTTGAAAAAAAATAAATACAAATACACACACAAACACCCAATGAGCCATCAATCCTCCTCCTCTCTAATAATGCATGTGAATCTTTCCTTGAGCAAAATTCTTGCCGCCTTCAACTAGACAAAAGTCCAAACTTGCTTCTATCAGGAAAAGAACCTGCTAGGGCCGGGCGGCTTTCGGCAGCAGTCTTTCAATATCTTCTTTATTGTTATTTTTTTCTGAATGCTCCAAAATGGATACCTCACCACTTTTGTAGACTTTGAGCTCCATCTCTAAAGACGGCTACCTCTTTGTCTACACCTTTATTATCTCTATCGTAAAGGAGAATTTATCGCATCAGCCATAGTTGTATCGTTCTCCCATGTCTATTTCAAGTGAACATCAGTAGGCTTAACATTGCTGTCTGGTGAGCTCTTTGATATTTCATGAATACCAAAGGATGGTCCGGTCCAAAGTTTTTCTAGCATCATAGCTGTAGTAGTTTCCAACACGTCTAGGCATTAAGTATTCAAGTCCAAGTTACTTTCTCCGCTCAATACTTTTATTTTGTAAAAGCTAAGAACAAACGACTCTTCAGGTTTTTTATAGCAGTTTTTATTCCTCAGCCAGCCTTGTGGCTTCCAGTGAAAGATTAACTTTAACCCTTTTGTTGAATGAAAATTATGATTCATATTCAACACGTGTAACATCAATTGATACTTGAGCATAAAGTCGGCAGGTGGCTATCAACATCACGGACAACCTGCTTTCACACAGATACTTGTTGTTGCATCAGAAATGGCCCAAACAAGGATAAGATTTACATACAGGCGATTCCACTTGGCCCTTCGATAGAGTGACTAGCTAGCTCCTACCATGATATTTGATTCTCGGTCGCTACATAATCAAATATATAATGAGCTACCTTTACAAGACCTAAAAAAGTTGCTGCATCAATCTCTCTATGGTCCCCGGGCGGAGGGGTATACAAGGCTGAAGGGGGGCTGTAGACTAGGTAAAAAAATAAATCCTAACCTCCAAATGCAGCAATTAATAGTTTGAATAAGTTATGAAAAAAGTTTTTTCAGTGATTCTCAGATTGGCTAAATATATTCCCATTAAAAAACCCGCGCTTTGACATTAGAATTCCCGTATCTTTTTTCTGAAGATTTCAATAAATAAAAAATATATTATTTAAGATATAAGATAAAATATTATTAGAAGATTAATACTATTCATTATAAGAACTTTTAGAATATATTTATTATTTTTAAATTATATCAAGGATTAATTGAAATAAATAAATTACAGTCCTATCATTTGATTAACGTGTTAATTCGTTTTATTTTGACTTTGTCCATTTTTATTACCATCACAAAGTAAACATTTTCAACAATAAAATATGTTAAAATTCTGTTTCACAATAAAATAAAAAATAAATTTTTAGCATATTTTATGATGATTTACATTGAACGACAACTTGTTGAAAATATTAATTTGGTTTCAATTATAATAAAATTCTATTCCATAAAACATGAAAGGGTTCGATTTTGATAGTGTATTTTTTTTTAATTTTATATACTTTAAACTCGGATTAAAACTTTAATATTAACTTGAAAAATTTATATATATAAATGAATGATTAATTTTAAAAAATAATTTATATATATCTAATAGTCCAGGACAAAAAAACTGCTGAGCCCGCCCTTGCTATAGTACCACTTGCTTTGTTAGATATTCTTGTTTGGCTCTTAGAGGCCACCATGTAATGTTGAAATGTTTAAGGAAAAAACAGAGACCAAGTTGTGCTAGCAGTTGGCTTGCACAAGCTGTGACATCCACAACATGTCACCTCGCCGGCCTTTTTGTGTGTTGGGGAGCTGCTACCGATTAATTATGATGTTCACAGCATGTAACTATAAGCTGCCACCAATTAATTATGATGTTCACAGCTTTTAACTATAATCAAACTTCTGGTGTTTTGTGATGTATTGCTCAACCACATGACTAATACACTGCCACAATATCTTTATGCAGGGAGAGAGAATGGCAGCAAGGGTCTTGTTCCGATCACACAAACACATGGCTAAAGCTGTTTCAGTGTCTAGCAAAGCATCTATACCAGTTTCATTGTGTACTGTTATTGAAAAAATGACATTAATCACTAACATGTCAGGATGCTGCATCCTGGATCGGTAGTTCTTCTATAGATTTAAATTATAGAAATATCGGGGGCAGTAAGGTGAATTTATGCTGGGCAGAGTTCTTCCTTCTCAAAAGAAAATAGAAAATGAGAAGCTAGGTAGAATTGTTAAACTCAATTCTTGTTCAAATGCCTAACAAGGAAGAACACGTTGAAGATTTACAAAGCTTCAGCCAGTCTTGTTTCTGCATTTTGGGTGCCACAAGTTAATTATGAATAATATCCTTGTAATCATCGTAGTTATAAAATTCAATATAATTTGATGAGTCCGCCTATTAATTAATCTGTATGATATATCAAATTGTTTTTTTCTAAATCAATGTTGTTTTTAATTAAAAATAATAATTGTATTTTAAAAAAATCAAAACCATATGTTGTATTGGTTTAAAAAGATTGAATCTGCCTTTCAAATTCTTAACACAAGATTCGGTTATATATACATTCTCTAATGGAATTTCAGCTTTAGATGAGGAGGGCTAAGAAAACTTTCTAAGAAACACAGTGAAAGAAATGCGACAAGCTTGAACTCTACTAAAATCAACAGGGTTAAAGTCATGTTTGTGTATACGTATATTTCAAAAAAAAAAATTAATTCATGGAAGCCTTGATTTTTCAAGAGCCAATAAATTTTTTTATAAATTAATTAAGTAGATTGAATTTATTTATTTTTTTTATAATGGTAGTAGCTTCCTGTAGACCTAGAGTAGCTATATCCCATATCTGTCGAAGTGGGATTTTGTGAGGTATAAAGAAACACTTGTCACGAGCCTTTTAGACAATTCATGCCCTGCCTTAGACTAAAATACAAAAAATATTAATTTTTTATGATATTTATGTTATATATGAAAAAAAAAAATTATGAAGGTTCTTACTTCTACTTTCAAATGTTCACATGGCAAAGCAACAATCTCAATGTGCTTTAAATTCATTCTTCTCTAAAGAAGCAAGCGCTCTGTGTTAACATTGATTGATATATATATATATTGAATTGATTTAATTTGGATTTATACTATATATTATTTAGTGTCATTAAGCCATATATATTTTAAGACTCTTATTTCTTTTTTTCTTTTTTTGTTTTTTTTTTGTTTTTTTTTTTTTTTGATTTACGTGGGGTGTCCGGGCCAGCTTACGCGCACCACGACTAATCCCCACAAATATGTGCTCTGTACACAAATATGTACTCTTAGTTCTTAATCCTAACACAAATATGTGCTCTGTACATTTTTTTTTTGAATTAGCAACATGCACCTTGATGGAGGGTTCATTTATCTATACGTTAGAATTCGTGTTTTTTTTTAAAATACATCAATTAGTCATTTGGTTATGAATTGTTAAAAAATAAAAAATGTAGATCCCATTATTTATTTGTGGCTGAAACTAATTTTTAGAAAGCAAGGAATTCATATTTTTTGAAATTGTTAATTGCATTGTTAACTGAACAGTGCAATTATATTTTTTTAATATATTAATTTTTTAATAAATTTTTTAAAAAACTAAATTAAAATGAATTAAATTTTCTCGCATCATAATA